CCACACCCAATCTCCAGGCTCTCCTGGGGCACCCAACTGGCCACCTAGAGAGAAACAGCTTTGGAAGTCTGGCTGTGGAGGGGCGCCCTCTGCTGGACATCAGAGAAAGTGTCTTCTTGACTGCCTTTCTCTGATCCCACTTATTCTCTCTACACTGGCGGAACTCAACGATACTCCAGGACTGGGACTACAACCAGGCAGAGGAAAGCCCTGGGGCAGATAAGGAGAGAGACCACTGGCAGTGGAGGAAAGAAACTGGGCTCGGAGTTAGACAGGCTTGTGTCCAAACCCCAGCTCTATCACTGTGTGCCCTTGGGCCAGTTAATCAACCTCTCTGAACATGTTTCCTCATCTATCAAATTGCGTTAGTACTAGTATCCACCCTGTGCGGCCGTTGCAAGGATCAGCTGAGATAACGTAGAGAACTACACTGTGCCTGGCACATAGTAGGAGCTCTGTAACTGTTGGTTCCCTTCACCTCTTTTAAGACTCGGTGTGTCTCAAGAGCCTGTGAAACTGGGTCCAGAGAAACTAAGCAGAGTTCTGCCCTTAGACCACTCAAGCTTCACCCTCAGCACTTGCTCTTCTTGTCTGTGTGACCTTGGGTAAGTGACTGCACATCTCTGGGCCCCATTAAAATGGAACTCATACCTCAAGATAGATAATCATGTAAAGAGCTAAATTAATGGCAGCTGCCGTTATTCTTTTGGCTCATCATCTTCATCATCATTTCTATTACGGAGAATGTACCACCTCTTGCTGTGCCTGGCACACAGCAGGTGCTCAATAAACATAAAAATAATGTTGAGAAACTGACTTAAAAAGGGAAGTGTTTTAGACCGTGAGTTGCAGTAAATGGCTCTCAAGCTTTTGGAATCTGGGTGGGGTTGCCAGTCCTGCATCTCTTTTCCTGGAGTAAAGGGGACCTGGAACTCCCAGGAAGAGTTTGGAGCAACAGCACCTGCCCGAAGTGGCGGGCTTCACTCTGCACTGGGGGCTTTCGCAGATGTGACCTCCCTGAACCACTCATGGGCTGGCAGCTCGGGCCCGGTGGGCTGCGAGGGCGGACTGTACAGAGCTCCCCACACGAGGTCCTGCATAAGCAGGTGTCTCCTTACTCGGTCCCCAGTCTCTGCGCCTGACCGGAAGCTCTGGGAGGGCAGAACCACTCCACACACAGGGCAGCAATTGAGGATGACGCTGCACACCACTTAATAATGGGGTGACTTTGCTTAAGTCACTTCTCTCTGAACCTTCACAGAAGGTGGCTCGCTGGGCATCTTTTGGGGGGGCATCACTGCATCCAAGGCAATGCTTTCTCCCAGGAGGAGGGTGCCAAGGGTGGCATGGGGCATGGCCACTATGGGGTGGCAGAGGGGCAGAGGGGCAGTTGTTCATCACCCTGAAGCTCCCCGCTGTGCCCTATATTTGAGGATAACTTCCTCTCAGTGCCCAACGTGGAATCCCCCAGGCGGAGGACCCTTGTGGAATGGGTTCAACATTCGTGGAGAGATGCACCTACTGTGTGCCTAGCTCCTTTCAAAACTCATGGTCAGGGTCTGCGTCTTGCCCTCCGGAGGGGGTGTGCTGCTACTGGGAGAGTGATCCCTCAGGCCAGCGCCCCAGGATGCTGGGCCGTGAGGCCAGTGACCCAGGTCAAGTCTCAGCTTTACCAAAGAACAGCAGTGTAACCCTGGACAAGTTGCTTCCCCTCTCTGAGATAACAGGTGCCTTCTCTGTGTGCCTGGCACACAGTAGGCACTCAATATGTGTGTGCTTACTTGCTCTCTGGGCTCCAGTCACTTGTCAAAGAAGAGCATTGGGTCCTAAGAGTCTGTTATCCGCACTCTCGGATTGTTCTGTGGTCACCTCCTCTGGGAAGCCCTCCACACTGGAAGAGCCAACCCTGAGCTCCTCCAGCCTCCCGTGCATCACACAGCAGAGGTGTCAACCCCTGGACTGTAATGATCATTGACCCTGTGAACCCGTGAGTCCTTAAGGGCAAGGGCAGCAGCTTGTCTGCAGTACCCAGCACAGATGAGTTGAGAATGGGGGATTCAGGCGTACAATCCCAGCTAGTAAAATTGCCCTTCAGGTGTTTTACTTACTGCCTTCACATTCATGCCCTCATTTTTAGTAGAGGATGTGTTACTACATCCCAACTCCATACTTGGGGAAATGAGGCACAGAGAGGGGTGATGGCTTGTGTAGCAAACACATGTGTGGCATGTATTATGTTATACATACATGCTACATAACACACTTATCTCTCACAGTCAGGGTTCTCAAAATTTGGTCTGTGGACCAGCAACATCAACGTCACCTGAGAACTTGCCTGAAGTGCAAATTCTGGGGCTCACTCCAGAACTGCTGAATCAGAAACTCTGGGGTGGGCCCGAGCGATCTGGGTTTCAGCAAACCCTCCAGGGGATTCTGATGCACGCCAACGTTTGGAAACCACTGCCTTACAATACCTACCAAGTCACTATGATTAGTCCTCTTTTACAAACAGGGTGATTGAGGCACAGCGAAGGCAACTGGTCCAGGACCATACAGCTGTAACTGGGGTACCAGGATTCTAATCCAGGTAGTTTGGCTCCAGAAACGTGCTCTTGGAGACCACCACGGAGTTGACATCCAAATCAAAAGAAGGATCAGCAATCTTTGGCCATTCACTAATAACTCTGTATTGAGCACCTACTGTGTGCAAGGCACCGTGCTAGGCGCTGGGACCTCTGGGTCTCGCTCTCACCGTTGTTAGTCTAAGAGAGGGCGTGGGGCTGGGAGTCGCGGGGGTGGGTTGGGGAGGGGCAGGAATCTTGCCTGTTACAGGCAGAAGAGAGGGACGGGGAGACGGGCTCTGCGGCCCCTTTAAAAGGCGGGGCCTGGCGAGCGGAACTGCGGGGGTTGGAATCTGGGTGGGGTTGCCAGTCCTGCATCTCTTTTCCTGGAGTAAAGGGGACCTGGAACTCCCAGGAAGAGTTTGGAGCAACAGCACCTGCCCGAAGTGGCGGGCTTCACTCTGCACTGGGGGCTTTCGCAGATGTGACCTCCCTGAACCACTCATGGGCTGGCAGCTCGGGCCCGGTGGGCTGCGAGGGCGGACTGTACAGAGCTCCCCACACGAGGTCCTGCATAAGCAGGTGTCTCCTTACTCGGTCCCCAGTCTCTGCGCCTGACCGGAAGCTCTGGGAGGGCAGAACCACTCCACACACAGGGCAGCAATTGAGGATGACGCTGCACACCACTTAATAATGGGGTGACTTTGCTTAAGTCACTTCTCTCTGAACCTTCACAGAAGGTGGCTCGCTGGGCATCTTTTGGGGGGGCATCACTGCATCCAAGGCAATGCTTTCTCCCAGGAGGAGGGTGCCAAGGGTGGCATGGGGCATGGCCACTATGGGGTGGCAGAGGGGCAGAGGGGCAGTTGTTCATCACCCTGAAGCTCCCCGCTGTGCCCTATATTTGAGGATAACTTCCTCTCAGTGCCCAACGTGGAATCCCCCAGGCGGAGGACCCTTGTGGAATGGGTTCAACATTCGTGGAGAGATGCACCTACTGTGTGCCTAGCTCCTTTCAAAACTCATGGTCAGGGTCTGCGTCTTGCCCTCCGGAGGGGGTGTGCTGCTACTGGGAGAGTGATCCCTCAGGCCAGCGCCCCAGGATGCTGGGCCGTGAGGCCAGTGACCCAGGTCAAGTCTCAGCTTTACCAAAGAACAGCAGTGTAACCCTGGACAAGTTGCTTCCCCTCTCTGAGATAACAGGTGCCTTCTCTGTGTGCCTGGCACACAGTAGGCACTCAATATGTGTGTGCTTACTTGCTCTCTGGGCTCCAGTCACTTGTCAAAGAAGAGCATTGGGTCCTAAGAGTCTGTTATCCGCACTCTCGGATTGTTCTGTGGTCACCTCCTCTGGGAAGCCCTCCACACTGGAAGAGCCAACCCTGAGCTCCTCCAGCCTCCCGTGCATCACACAGCAGAGGTGTCAACCCCTGGACTGTAATGATCATTGACCCTGTGAACCCGTGAGTCCTTAAGGGCAAGGGCAGCAGCTTGTCTGCAGTACCCAGCACAGATGAGTTGAGAATGGGGGATTCAGGCGTACAATCCCAGCTAGTAAAATTGCCCTTCAGGTGTTTTACTTACTGCCTTCACATTCATGCCCTCATTTTTAGTAGAGGATGTGTTACTACATCCCAACTCCATACTTGGGGAAATGAGGCACAGAGAGGGGTGATGGCTTGTGTAGCAAACACATGTGTGGCATGTATTATGTTATACATACATGCTACATAACACACTTATCTCTCACAGTCAGGGTTCTCAAAATTTGGTCTGTGGACCAGCAACATCAACGTCACCTGAGAACTTGCCTGAAGTGCAAATTCTGGGGCTCACTCCAGAACTGCTGAATCAGAAACTCTGGGGTGGGCCCGAGCGATCTGGGTTTCAGCAAACCCTCCAGGGGATTCTGATGCACGCCAACGTTTGGAAACCACTGCCTTACAATACCTACCAAGTCACTATGATTAGTCCTCTTTTACAAACAGGGTGATTGAGGCACAGCGAAGGCAACTGGTCCAGGACCATACAGCTGTAACTGGGGTACCAGGATTCTAATCCAGGTAGTTTGGCTCCAGAAACGTGCTCTTGGAGACCACCACGGAGTTGACATCCAAATCAAAAGAAGGATCAGCAATCTTTGGCCATTCACTAATAACTCTGTATTGAGCACCTACTGTGTGCAAGGCACCGTGCTAGGCGCTGGGACCTCTGGGTCTCGCTCTCACCGTTGTTAGTCTAAGAGAGGGCGTGGGGCTGGGAGTCGCGGGGGTGGGTTGGGGAGGGGCAGGAATCTTGCCTGTTACAGGCAGAAGAGAGGGACGGGGAGACGGGCTCTGCGGCCCCTTTAAAAGGCGGGGCCTGGCGAGCGGAACTGCGGGGGCGTCTCTGCGGGGCACTTCCGGGAGGCTGGAAACGCTACACCCGGAAGCGTCAGGTGAGAGGGAGGCGCGCCGCCGAGGCCTCACCGCTATGGGCCGCAACAAGAAGAAGAGGCGAGATGGCGACGGCCGGCGGCCGCGGCTCATTTTGAGCTTCGACGAGGAGAAGCGGCGGTGAGTGTCAAGGCTGGACCGTATCCTCTTCGAGCCGCCGGGCAAGGCTAAGGCCAGGTCCGCTGGCACACGCTCACGCGGACGGCCCTTCCGGTCCCGCCCTCTGGGCGTGGTGCGAAGCTCCCGCGGAAGGAAGCGGGCGCACTGGGCCCCCAGCCCAGAGGAATGGAATCGTCCGCCCCGCCCTTACTTCTCTTTTCGGCTCCTCAACCCGCCTAGCGCTGATGTACGCGCCGCTCCGAGAGCGGGGAGCTCGGGTCTCCGAGCGGTGGCTTCGACCTCCCTAGCCCAGCCCGGCGGCCCCGCACGCAGCAGACTCAGCTGTTTTTGATGAACGATGAGTGAATGAAACGAGTGGCTTAAATTCATTTATTCGCCAGGCGATTACTAAGCTCTTTCGGGGTGTGCGCGCCAGGCCTCGGGATCCCTGAGTCGGACCCTTAAGCCTTAGCGTTCGGCCCATCACATGTCCCCCCCCTCAGAGTGCCACCTGGGTATATGGTAGTGGGTCAGCGAAAAGCCTAACGTTGGGCCCCGGAACAGATGGGAATGGTGCAGCAGGCTCTAGAGAGGTGAGGGGCTGAGATCAGATAGGGGGAGCGAGGGAAATGCTGAAGAAGCATCAAGAAAACTCAGGGTGGGACTTCCCTGGTGGCGCAGTGGTTAAGAATCCGCCTGCCAATGCAGAGGACATGGGTTCGAGCCCTGGTCCGGGAAGATCCCACATGCCGCGGAACAACTAAGTCCGTGAGCCACAACCACTGAGCCTGCGTTCTGGAGTCCGCGAGCCACAACTAGTAAGCCTGCGTGCCACAACTACTGAAGCCCATGCGCCTAGAGCCCATGCTGCGCAACAAGAGAAGCCACTGCAATGAGAAGCCCACACACCGCAACAAAGAGTAGCCCCCACTCGCCGCAACTAGAGAAAGCCCACACGCAGCAACGAAGACCCAATGCAGCCAAAAATAATAAATAAATAAATAATAAAAAGAAACTCAGGGTAGCATCAACACAACTTACAGATGAGTCCAGGGGCGAGGTCCTGGTCAAATGGGGAGTTGGTCCAATGGAGAGTTCGTGGAGGTCTGGGTGAGGGTGGCCTTGAAAGCCCCACTAGAAGTGGCTTAATTCACTGAGTAATGGAGTTTGCCAGAGAAGAAGGGACCCTCACCTGTTCTAGGTTCAAAGGCTCTCAGCCTGTGCCCACCACCTGGCCCGGTTGCTGGCAGCTGAGAGCCCTGGAGGGTAGTGAGTGGAGAGAGGCAGCATCTCCCTCTCTT